AGAGTGGAGAAGGAAGCCTCCCCAGTCCCCACCAGTAGTGTTATAGAGTTTATTCAATTGGCGAAGACTATTGTCCCGTCTTTGTTGTTGTAAAATAAGCCCTGTACTTTAGCCCCCCCCTCCCCCGCCGCCTTTGTTGTGGACACATTGTGCTTGAACCAAGTATCTTTAAATGTGTAATAAATGAATTAGTTCATGTTAAAATAAATCTAAATACTAAGCAAACCTTGATATTTCCCCCCGTATATAGTGTCATTGGGAGATTTCCCAAAATGATAGTAAAGCATTAATTTTTTTCTTAAATAAGAGTAATAATATTATGTCCTTTCCTGAATAAGAGTAAATGGTGTCATGGTGCCTATGTTTTACTATTATTTAGAGCAGTTTCTAAAAGAAATACTGAAGAGATGAAAACAAAATAAAGTATTTTATATGGATCTAAAGCAAAGAGTGATCAATATACTTGCAAGACTAAACTTATGTAGAGTTTTGACATACAAAAAATAACAGATTAGAAACCCTGTAACTTTGCGACATAGCAGTAGTGATTATCATCATGAAGTAGACCAAGATGGAAGAAACTGAAGTGCTGCACATGTTCCTCTTTTCTTCTACCGCCAGGGAAAGCAACATTTCTGCGTGGAAAAGAAAGAGGCAAACAGAGTATGAGAAAGGGAAATTCCTGTTGTTTAGAACATAGGAGCATAATACAAACAGGCCTTCTAGTTGGCAACTTGGCATACCTGAGAAGGGTGTTCTTGTTTTTTAGCATTATACGACGTTTGACTAGGTCTGTGAGGCCCGTTTGTTGAATCTTGCTGCTTCGCCTTTCGCACTTTGTTAAAAATCTCGGTATAGTTTTGAGGATTGATGTCATCCCACTCTCCAAACCTTGGAACTTCTGCTGCTTCGGGCTGTCCAAACAGAAAGCACCAACTTGAGCAACCCGAGTATTTTGACTTTTATTCAATGTTTGTTGCGAAAAATATCAAAAAATTACCAATTTGGTTAAATATAAAAGAACAATCCAGCATATAAGATTGTGATTTGTGATACTCCTATTAGAATAACCTTTTATAGGATTGAATTTGAAGTATTCATGTGGATAGAATAACTTTTTGCAGTTTCTTTCTCTCTTTCTTTTATACCCATAGTTTGAGAATTGAGACTAACTTTGCTTATTCATCCAGGTTAAGTTGTGCAGCCCATTTGAAGGATGCCGGACCGACTAAATATAAAGTAATAACTCAACTTATAAAAGCAATGCAAGGCTTAATAGTGTTGGATTAATCCCTTAACAATATGAAACTCACACTTTGACTTGGCTTTGGCCTGGATCTCCCAGTAGAACCATGGCTGCTGTTATGAGACTTTCTAGGACTGGCATCAGCCTTTGTCATGAGCCTGGTGGCAGCCCCACGTGTCAATGGTTCCTCCCGCTTGGACGGGGTAGTCGCTGGAGCCGCAACAGCAGAGGGGAACATGTTCTGAAACATGTCCTGGAACTGTTGGGGATCGTTTGGATTTATAGCCTTCCCGTCTTTATACTTTCTAGCCTGTTCAAAGTAAACCGTGTATGGCTCGTTCTTTTTCTCCCAGTCTCCAAACCTTGGCACATTTGGACGCTGCAAATTTCAAATTGCAACTTCTATCCATTATCTTCTACACTATTTTTCTCAAGCATCATTGTAGACTACTAAGATTTGGCCGGGTTCTATATGTTCTTTAATACTTCTACTTGGCCGATGTGAGACAAATACTTCAAGTACTAAATGAAGAGTCTTTGAGAGCAAAGTGCATGTTTTGATAACACAAATTATTGGTAAAACTAGCAGCTGGAAAAACATCATAACAATGGAAAAACTTAAAAAGAAGTGATAGAGCTTGAAGGAGTTGACTTACAGCCATACTTCCTTGCCAAGCTGTTCTTGGTCAAAGTGGAAAGCACACAAATGACTCAGAGAATTGAACAACTTTGATCTTCAAGAAACCAAAACCAAAACCAACCCTTTTGAACTTCTAAGTACTATAGATACAATCACAAGAGAGTAGTAGAATACTTGTATATATATACAATTTCAGTCCAACATCATACTTGTACACCCTGACTTCATGCTTGTATGACTTAGCCTCTTGGTACTCAGTCAAAACAACTAAAAACTATTCCTATCTCTCTGAATTCTTCAACCCCAAAACTTTTTTGAATAATATACTTCCGGTCAAAGAAGAACCTTTCAGCAAGGTGTCATCAAAACATTAACCAGATCACATCATCATTACTGAAGATATTATATTACTCCGTACTACGTATGGTGCTATGATTGGTCTAACATATGGCTGGTCAATGATGAAACTTTCAAACGCTGGAAGGCTTCAATTGCCAAAATTGACTTTTCATTATATTCTTTTGGGAGAATTTAACAATTTATGTAGTCTAAAAGTGAGAGTTCTATTTTGTTCACCCTCCCAAGAACATGGACATAACTCCATTTAAAAACTACATGTGGGACAATTTATTATACTTTCCATGAGTGTTGATTTGTACTTTTTAATTTTAAACAAATGGAGGGTGATGTTCATACTTTAGAGAACAAAGTAGATCTCTAAAGGTTAACACTATTATCTATCAGGGTACCCAATACAGAATATGTGTGATATGATGTATTTCTTCCGCGTACAACATTTATTCAATTATAGAAATTACTTCCCTAATGTTAGAGCATCTTTAGTGACATTGTGGATTGCACCTTCTTAAAAATGGGCATGTCATCTATATAGACAGCCTATGGAGCTGATTTGGATGGACGGACTATGAAAATCATATTTCATCTCCAATGATTTCTTCTATTCTTTTGATAAAAACATTTAATTTATTTGTTACTTCACATGTAATACGTTGAGATGTATTGCCGAAAGGATAAGATTGTAGGAGTATTGGTTGTTGTGCTTTTGTTGAGCTCTGTATATGATTCCAAGCTCTCACTTTTGGAAAATAGTTGGCTGTGAGATTGCCTTCTGAAACTAGAAAGAGTTATAGACGGTCTCTCTTTTTTTCCATTCCACATCAGCACCACAATTAATATCCATATTTCCATCGGAGAGGTTAATTTTATTCCAATATGATGTGGCAATACATTTATAAGCAATCCATATTCCCATTAGAGATGCTCTTAGAGCATCACTCAATCAATTCCCCATACCCATATTGTTTATCGGTAGGACCATCATGATTAGCAAATAATGAGTAAAAATATTCGAAAATAGCAAGTTATTCTTTTAGTCCTACCAATGTTCTACCCGCGGCAACTCAGGTGTATATTGGGGTTATGTAAACTCATCTCCCATAGCTTTTCCTATTATTACTTTGGCTTCCAACATATGCTTTCTTTGTTTGGTTATGACCAACCTCGTTCCATTGCATAATCCTGCCATCCGATCAATATTTCTCTATAACATTATCAGTGCTTCAATTTTTAATTGGAGAACATGATTAGGCAATCCAAACATTGATATGCTATTACGAAACTCAATTGTGTACATATCTGCATCGAAGGGATCTATGTGTGGCATGGACCAAAGTGTGGAAGCTAGAAATACCACCCAAGGTCAACTATTAGCCCTTCCTTTGAGGAGTCTTAATTTTTTAACTAATTATCTAAACACGTTCTCGGTCTATATTTTCTAATCAAAAGAGATACTTTTTTTATAACTCTCAACTGCATCCAAATGAAAGTATTCTTCTCAACCATATTTACCTAATAACCTAGCCATGATAAAGGAGGAGGGTGTTGTGGTAAGCGCGTGACGGCCAACAATATCACCTAGTTACATCACATGACATGAATCGAAATATGAATTTTATCTTTAGTTCATTTCTTTTCCTTTTGGTGATATCATGTATCGATTCATGTTAGCCGACCTCGATATCATTTGGGAATAAGGCTTGGATGTTGTTGTTGTTGAACAAAGGAAGCTGCTCGGTTCCCATTTTTATCCATTAGATGTAATCCAAGGTTTATTGTTTTTTCAAGTCACTACACGATTTTCTAGTTTATATATTCAACAATAGGTATTGTCATGTTTGTAAAATAATTAGCCCTTCTATATTTTAGAATTTAGCAAATTAGTCTTTCGATCATTTCTTTACGAAAAAGTTTACAATACTCCCTCTATCCCACAATCAACTTCCACTTTTCCTTCTTGGAATGTCCCAAAATTAACTTCATACTTCACTTTATTTCTAATTTTGGTAAGTTTTTACTTTCAAAGTACTCATTTAGTTATTTACCCTTTACTTTTACTATTCACCTACCTCTTTAATTAATTTGGATCACTACTTTTAAGGGAACTCTTTGAAAGCAATTTCATAAGAATTCAGAATTCTATAGAAAAATTGAAGCAGCTCATTTAAGAATAGGAAGAATTGAAGAAAATGTTTAGAAAATGTGTATTTAAATTTTTTGTTTGCACCCCACTCCACCCCCCATACCCCACCTACCCCCATCGGTCATATAGTCATCGGGAACGGCTACATGCCGCCGCTGCCACCCCCCACCACATTCTAATAAAAATAAAAATAAAATATATCTATTTGGCTCAAACCAAGCCCGGCCGAGCCGGTCCCCAAAATTGAAGCCCGGAGCCTGCCTCTAGTAAACCACAATCCAGGTACTAGACCGGTACTAGTACTAGAAAACCGACCCGGGTCGGACCGCCCAGACCCAATCCATCCCTACTTATACCCCCATGTCATCAATGCACCTATCTCATTAGGCATGGTAGTGTAGGACCTGAACCCGCCCTGTGACATAACTAGGTGGACCCACCCGCCCCATGACCAACTAGGGTAATTAGATGTTGGCCTATTACGCGCCCCGCAGCAACCTAATAGCTAGTACAAATTTCTAGTTGCATGAAGTCATTATGTCATGAATTTTACCTAAAGTTTATCTTTAAATAATTAAAAAAAATATATAATAAATCAAAGACACAATACCATAAAAAGTTTCAAAAATTAAGAAAAAATGATTTAGACTTGAATAGTTAACTGTTTATTTATGAATAAATGAATAACTAAATGCCAAATATAAACAAACACTTTGAGAATTAACTAGATCTGATGTTAGGCTGACTGGAACCTAATTTTCAAACTCAGCTGAATATCTATCATCCTCCGCCCACATAGCTCTATAATACCCGTGAATATCATACCAAATCATTCTACGACAAACTTCATGTTGAAACTGAATACACATAAGCTGCAACAAAACAAACACTAAATAAGTCAAGTTTGCAAGAAAGAAGAAACATACACAACGTATCGAAATGAATATTACAAATTGCTACAAATATTAGTTGCTTCAAACTGCAAGATTTACCTTACGAAACACAAAGCGAGATCGCGAATCTGGGTCAGCATTACATTCCTTGTCCACCGCCGCCTTTAATTCCTGGTTATTTCAATGAACACGAGATGAAAACACTTGCTAAAAGCCTAAAGGCACGTTAATTTAAGTCATATTTCAATTTCGCAATCCGTAAAGATAATAGTTAGGCTTCTTACCGCAACATCACCATCAAAATTAGACTGATAATAAATGTGTTTAACTTCCCTTGGAAAATTGGGGGGAAATCCATTGACAAACGTCATAATTTCAGGAGCATGGTATGCAAACAAAATGACCAGGAATCCCCTTCAAAAGATTAAAATAAGATCTTTAAGCATTAGGGCACGATGAAGCCACATTTTAACACAAAAGAAAATCAGAGTTACAGTTCCAATAGCATTTGCAAATTCAAATCAACACACCACAAACACAAATGATCTGTGTATTACATAGGATGTGGGTAAAGCAATCTCTCGAGTGTGACAACAGTAACATATGTCATGTCAGATCTACCAAGGGTTCACAAAACCCACATTCAATGAAAAATGCAAAAAGTAGATCTGTCTATCAACCCCTCACACTATTGATCAAATCCTAAAACCCAACCCGCTAAGTCACTTAGATGTACTCCCTCCGTCCCAAAATGGTTGGCCAAATTTTTTTTTTGGCCGTCCAAAAAAGGTTGTCCATTTCCATTTAAAGTAAGGAATATGTGGCTAAAATTAATTCTCTCTCCTCTGCACAAATTTTAACCACACAGTTTTTACTTTATTAATCCACGTGCAAGTCAACATTGGCCAACGATTTTGGGACAGAGGGAGTATCAATTAGCAACTCATCAACCTGACCAATTCATATCAAATATGAGAGAATACAACCCGCACAACATATATAAAAAATTGAGTGTAAGATGCTCAAAAAATTTGGTATGATTAAACTAGACTTAATGAATAAGATGCTCAAAAAATTCCACCAGGAACCGCCCCAAATGGAGACGGCCCGACAGAGCCTCCAATATAAGGGCTTATTTGACCTTTTTATGTAAGTACAAGGGCCTATGTGACCCTTTTCCCTTATTACTACTACTCCGTATTATTTTGCAATTGTCTGCCACCATTGCTCATTGCTGGTTGTACAGAGTGTGCTAGTAGATGGAGCAGACACATTGGGCCTGAACTTGGAATGGGTTTTGTCCAATCTGCTGAACAACCATATTGCATTGAAGAAAGTCCAATAAGAGATTGACGCCATAATCGGGGGCAGTGAAAGATGGTTACAGGATTCTGACATTGAACAAATGGTGTACCTCCAAGCAGCAGTCAAAGAATCCATGCGGCTATACCCAACCGCACCTCTTCTTTCCCCTCACAAAGCCATCGAAGATTGCACCATCGGTGGGTATACTGTCACTAAGGGTACCGTCGTGTACCCCAACGTGTGGAAGATACAACGGGATCCGCGAGTGTGGTCGGAGCCGGAGAAGTTCTCGCCGGAGAGATTCCTGGGACAAGTTGAAAGAGAGGCTGATCCGGGCAAGTATTTTGGGTTCATTCCTTTTGGGTTCGGGAGACGATCCTGTCCCGGAAATTATTATGCTTTGAAAGTGACGCACCTCACCATTGCCCGTCTGATCCAGGGGTTTACCGTCACAACTCCGGGGAATATGCCGGTGGACATGTTGGAAGGGATATCCATCACTCTTACTAGAGCAAATCCACTCAAAGTGTTTATTGCTCCCCGACTACCATCTTCCTTTTATGAATAATCACTATAATTAAGCCGCCAAATTTTTCTAAATAATATCGCACTCTCTGCTTGTTTAATTTGGTGTGTTAATTACGTTAATTAAAGTATGTTTAATTTGTTCTTCTCCTTTCAATAATTTCAGTTGTTTCTCATTATTTAACTATGGGTTGCTCTTGCCGCTTGGACTATTAGAATGGCTTTAGTTGTCTTTTGATCATGAGAATGACAAAGAAATTTAAATTTTCCCCTTTTCCATAAATCTCTTCCAAGGTCTTCTTTTGCTCGTTACCTTTGTGCCCCTTTGAGGCTTTGAGCCCGTTTGGTGTGTCAAATCCATTTTTTTTAATTTTGCTTCCCTGCACCACGCATTTCCTTTTATCTTTGCTTCTCTGTCTTTACTTTTCTTTTCTACAATTACATTTTCCTTCTCCATCAAATACTAAAAATGTAATTAAATTTTTACTTTTCTTTATTTTCAACTTAATTTATTCAATCTATTTTTTTCTTTATCAATTCATAACAAAAAATATTAATCTAAATAAAATAAGTATATACATTTCACATTCATATACTATTTTTATTTATGTAATATTTCTGGTATATTATACACTTTTTTGTAATATTTATTTATATTATACATTTCTTTGTAATATTAATCTATGTAATTAAAATAAGTGTATTACATTTCACATTCATACATTGTTTTACTCCGGTAATATTTTCTTTGTATTATGCACTATTTTGTAATATATTTTTCATATTCATACACCTATTCCTATAATATATATATAGAAAATGTAACACACGTTGATGAAAAATCTAACTTAGGTGTATGCAAAATGTGACTTGTTGAAACAAGTCCAAATGTAAGTCATGCATAGAAAGTTGCAACTCATATATAAAGATGTAATCTCATATTTTATCAAATGTAAATCGAAATAAAAAAAATTAATGTCTTAAAACACAAAAACATATAAAAGAGATCTGACATACATGTCCAACACTCCCCCGTCTGAACACCGCCGTTTGGGGTGGTTCCCGGTGGAATTTTTTGATAAATTTTTTGAGAATGTTCCTCATCAAATCTAGTTTATCCACAAAATATTTCAGCTCAATATTCGATCGGAAAGATAGTCTAATCATTTTTTGAAGTTCACTGCATTTTTTACATGTATATTTTGGACGCAGTTATCTTCAAGAATTAATTTGAATGCGTTCCCGATTGAAGTTTTAGCTGAGATTTAATATGAGTAAACTAGACTTGATGAATAAGATGATCAAAAATTTTTATCAAAAAATTCCACAAGCAACCGCCCTAAATCGCGACGGCCGGACAGAGCCTCCTATATAAGGACTTATTTGACCCTTTTATGAAAGTTCAAGACCTATTTGACAGTTTTCTTTATAATTTAAGATTTTACAATAGCCTTATTAATATACTACGGTATATTGTTTATGCAACTTATGATGATATTATACTTTTATTAATGGTTACATACTACGTATTTTAGAACAATATTATTGTTTTGAGTACTTGTTATCTCTGTCCTAAAAATCGTTTTAGGCGCCCGACTAGTCCTTGCTTAGGCGGTGATCGGGCGCCCCGATTTTAATCTAGGCGCTCCGACTAATTGGTCGGCCGTCTATGATGCCTAGTTATCCGCCTAGTTACCCGCCTAGAGCGCCTAATAGGCCGCCTATGACATCCAGATTCGCCGAACATTACTTCACTTTTTAATTTAAATTTTCTATGTAATATGCATACTTTAACTTTAGTCATGGATATAAAGAAATCATTTCATTTTATTTTCATTTACCCCAGTGCCACAAAGACTCCCACCTACGGTCAGGTAAGGGGGGGGGGGGTCGGATGTACGCAGTCTTACCGCTGTACTAAACCACATAGAGACTGTTTCCGGATGACCCATAGTGAAAATCACGTCCAAAATTGCATGGACTGACTGCTGCTTCATAACAAAGAAGCGCAGACAGTTTAGTGAGCCATTTTACTTTATTCCATCATATTCTCAAGCCAAAAAATAATGAATCTTTGGCTTCATTGCAAATGATGAAAAACATGGATATAAAGAAATGAAGTTGTAAATTAAGATAAAACTAAATATGTTTGTGTATGTATATATATCTAAATTTTATCATTATTTATATTTATAACATAATAAAGTTAAGTGATTAGTTATCATACACTACGTATGATTAAATGTGATAATTCTATCATTCATGTTTGTTAATGTATATGTATATATGTATTTTATACACACAAAAATACAATATTACTTATCATATTTATGCAAAAATATAGATAAAAATGCAATTTCTATGTCACCGACTAGCGCCTAACGCCTTTTAGAACATTCTTTGTTATGCATTAGTACTCTTTAATTATAAACGAGAATACGTTTCATCTTTTTAATCTTAATACTCCCTCCTTATTTTTTGTTCAATACATTAGGATATGACATACGGAGTAACATTTAAAGGTGAATAGTAAGGGGTAATGAATAATATAGAAAAAATATGAGAGAAGGTGAAAAAGTGGGACAAAGAGGATAAAAATGAGAAAAAGTAAGGGTAATTGAGTTTTGGGAAAATGGAAACTAATAATCCAACCTTTCAGCGGTCTTCTTTCAATAATCCCACCTTTTGATTATTCATAAATAATCCAACCTTTGCACCTCATCTTCATTCATTGGTCCCTGGTCGGTTAATGACCTACTATTCCAAGTTATTTTCTTATCTTTGCAAAATATTATCTTTGTGAAAGATGAGATTTATGGTATAATGATTTGCAATGATAAGAAAATAGCTTGGAATAGCAGGTCATCAACCGGTCAGGGACCAGTGAATGAAGATGAGGTGCAAAGGTTGGATTATTCATGAATAACCAAAAGATTGGATTATTGTAAGAAGACCGCTAAAAGGTTGGATTATTAGTTTCCATTTTCCCTTGAGTTTTTTTTAAAAGAAAAACTTATTAAAAAAGGAAAGTGTATGGAACTCTTAAATACGGAGTACATCCCAAAAAGAAAATTGTATGAAACTTTAAAATACGGAGGGAGTATAATATATAATTATACATATTTCATATTTTAATTTTGAGAGAGGGTTGACCGGGGTTTTCGCCGTTGACCGGCCGAGCTGATCTCCGGACCGGGCTGACCCCGAACCATCATTTTTCCGAGTTGTCATGGTTCTGACAACATAGCTGACAAGATGGGCGTGGTTAAAGGCGCCTATGCCGACGGGCTCTAATTGAACGCAACATACCCACAATTGCATTATACGGTATGAATGATTTATGAGCAGTGGATATAATAATAAATTAATAAAAAAGGGAAAAATAATTAAAATACTCCAAATTTTGAGAGGGTGTGAGGTAAACATTTCAAACTTGCATAAGTAATTTAAATATCCCAAACTTTTAATAAAAAATTATTTTATCACCATAGTCATGTAATATTTCTTTAAAAAATGTTAATTTTTGGTGTTAATTTCATAATTTAAAATATTTTAGCATTCATGAAGATACAGTTAACATTCTAAACTTCCGTTGTAAAATAATTAATACTACTCCCACTCTATATAATTGCAACATTTTTAATTTGTTATTTTAAATTATGCAATTAACACCTTAAATTTCTATTTTTGAAAAAATAATATATGACCATGGTGCTAAAATAACATTTTATATAAAGTTTGAGGTATTTAAATTACATGTGAAAATTTATGGTGTTTATCTCACAATCTTTAAAAATTTGAGATATTTTATTTATTTTTTCAATAAAAAAACTTTAAGGCACAGTGTTCTGTTCGCATAGGTTTGATAACCATATTCTGTCAAGTTGCATCTATACAATAATAATGACATGCACTCCTTTCCACAAGTTCAATTGGTTTTTACTAATCTTGATAAACTTTAATAAATATTTTCATATAAATTTCATATTTGAAAATTTTCATACTAAAAAATGTTATCAGCGCACAATGATCTTCATTTGATCAAGAACTTAGAATACAGTCATATGTAAAGGCTATTTGGCAACACTATTTTTCAGCATATCAAATATATCAACCAACTTCTTCATCAAACACGCAAGTTTTGTTTTCATGCGCTGAATTGTGTAATAAGTAGAAAATGTAAGGTTGAAGTTACTTTTCTGACTATATTGGCCGAAGTTACCGTAAATGACCATTTTAGCTATTTTTACATATAGTTTTTCTTTCTTTTATTAATAAAATATAATTGAAAAATATTTTTCCTTAAATCAAAGTTACTTCAGCCAGTACTTCATAAATTTCAGTAGAATCAGCCAAAACAACCAATTTTTGTGGTACCAAACGGGCTCATGGATAACGATCATGTTAGCCTAGTTTGACAGGATCCGTCGTCTGGCTAAATCCGTTTGAGAGGCTTCTAAATCTAATTTTTTGATGAAATTTATTAATCCTGTTCTTCATCAAATATAATTAAATTATCTCCAAAAAGTTTCAGATTAAAAGTCAATCGAAAATCATTTAAATAAATAATTAAACCATATTGTGTTTTATTTAAATATATATAAAGCACAATATATTTCAATAATTTATTTTCCTCACTTTCCGATTTAATTTTAAGTTGAATATGTCATCAAAAAATGCACCGGGAAGATAAGATCCGTTAAACCAAGGAGAAGATTATTCATTGCCATATGTATATATACTACGGAGTAGTATATATATACACTACCCAGTTTCATGCATGCTGGCACACATTGGAAAGTAACTAAATAAGGTGACTAAAGATTAACGAAGATGGCTATGGAATTTCTCTTTTCATTGGTGTCCAATTATTCCATATTATTATTAGGCATAGCTGGTTTGCTTTTAGTTTTCTTGAGCATGACTTCATGGGGGCGAATGAAAAAGAACAATACTAAGGTGTTGCTGCCACCGGAGGCGGCCGGTGCATGGCCTGTGATTGGGCACCTCCGGCTGCTAACCGCCGTGAAGCAACCGTTCGCTCGAACATTGGGA